GACATTTCAGAAGTTCAGAGGGTTTAAAATTCAAATGTCAGATCGAAAATTTTATGGCCATACCAATGGTTGATCAAAAATGCTAGAGTCACTGTCCTGGTTTTGGCTAGGGTTGATCAGGAAACTGGAAACACAACATTTTCCCTAGGCTCTACAACCCTTTCCATGTGCATGCGAGTGGACCAAAAGCAGGGATATCGCCTGCACCACTCCAGCTGTCTCTGACTGTTGTGTTGTTCCCAGGGCTGTGGTTACAGTGGCTGACTCCATGGCTGAGGGTCAGTACTGTGGCGCTCCTCCTGGTGACTAACCTCCCCCTGGCCCTGTACACCAGCCTGGTGCACCAGAGAGGCACGGTGGACGTCATGTCATACCTGAGTCAGCAAGCAGACAGACAGGGGCAGCACATGTCTGTGCTGTTCCTCATGCCTTGTCACTCAACTCCCTTTTACAGGTGGGTTGAGAAGCCTACTTTGATGACATCTTTACAAGTAGGATGTAGCTTTAATGTGTAATACTATTGAGTGTTTTTGTTGGCAAGTTATTTGCAACATCGGTTATATGCTTGATTAGAGATATTAACCCAGATAGTCTTTAGAAAAAGGCTTATAATATTAAGCGGGTTGATCTTGATCTAAATGCTGTGCAATATTTTGATTTACCAGTACTGAGACCCCACTTGCAGCAAAGAAGATTAAGTTACCTGTTTTCTAATGACCAGAAAATTTGTCATATGCTTACAGGGCTCGAAATACCCACAAGCAAAACGTTGCAGGTGATTTTCAAGATTTGGGTGTACTGGTAAAAATGTTCTGAACATGCAATTTCATTTTCATGTTGAAAGTACATGTACATGTATTGGGCACTGGAATAATGGAACCCCACCACTTTGCAATACTGCTTTTGAAATGTGGGGTGTTTTCTTTCCTATTTTCCCCCAATAATTTTGCTCAAGTTTGCTCGAAATTTGTCAGGTTTGCAGGCACATGCTTCATTTCTTCTGGGTGCACCCACCACTGAGAAAAAATTTCCCTCTATCATAAGAAGGTAGTGTTGGAGATTTTCTTATGTATCTTGATGTATACTAGTAACTAGAGAAGACTGAAGGCTGAACTTCAGTTTTGCTTTCTGGTCTTCCATATTGCATGTAAAAGTTTTGCCAACATGCAATTTTGTATGTAACACAACAAAAGTATTTCGAGCCCTGTGCTTATGTGTGTTTGATGACTTTCTTTCACTGTCAATCTGTCCTAGTCATGTTCACCACAACGTCAGCATGAGGTTCCTGGAGTGTCCCCCTGACCTGGAGAGAAGACCAGGATACATGGACGAAGCCGATATATTCTACCAGGATCCCCCTGCATGGCTAAAGACCAACTATGGGCCAGATGTGCCACTCCCAACACATGTTGTCATGTTCAATACTCTACATCAGGTAAGAGTCATAAGGTCTCTCTGTGGTTTACAGCAAAGCTCAGGTATTTATGCCTCAATGAACTACATGTACATGTGTTGTATTGGTGGTAAGGCCATGTTGGTTTTATTATATGGATGGCATCCTCTGGGAGCCCAGAAACTGATGCGTGCGAATAAAAAAGAAGCTTCAAGTTTGGCAAAAAAGAAGTTGCCGTCATTATGAAATCTACGTGGTTATGAAAGTTAAACAAATGACGAAACACAGGGTATGGTATGGCAAATGATGGGCTCTTCATTTTCATTTCCTCACTTTTTCTTCTTTTCCTTCGGAATTGACTTTGGCATTCTACATACTGTACATTAGTCTTGTTTTACATGCATGTCCTTTTTAACTCTGCTGTTCTATTGCAGGACGTAGAGGACTTCCTTACAGAGAAAAAATTTTCAAAGGTATGTTTTTCCCTTTACTTTTTTCTTCAAGTCTTTTCAAAGAACACTTTGTGGAGTTACTGGTAAAAAGAATTATCTCAATGCATGTCTTTTACTTCATAGTGTACAAAGAAAGGCATACCGGGGGTAGTAGTAACATACACATTAAACCAGTGACACAATCAACAGTCATTGAGGTACTTTATTTTTTTCTTCCACACCAGAACATGAAGTTTGTAGCAGCTAGCACCTCCTAAGGTAGCCTGAGAAAATATTGAACTTTCTTGGTGTGATTCACTTCTGAAGTGTTACTGGAGTACACATTTCACTCTTTAAATAGTAGCCTTGCTACTGTAATTTGTTCACTTAATGTGTGGATAATGCTTGTTCTAAATGCCTTCCAGTGTGCAGAATACTTCCACACCCACATCCCACTTGAAAGAAGGATTGGCAACTATGTGCAAGTCTACTGTCTTCAGGCCACATAACTTAAGATATAGTAAGAACTTAGTAAGAGCTCCATAACATGTTCCCATGTCAAGATTACAAGATTTCAACATCTTGAGTTTAATCTTGCATGCTCAACAGTAATATGATATTTAAAACAACTTTTTCTAAACCTAGCATTTTAAATAAGAGAAACAAAACAAACAGAAAACTGCACACATTGTTATTGTCAGTTCCAGAGTTGCATAATAGTTGGTTTCAGTTGTTTGTATTTGTACTTCTGGTTGCTGTAATTGAAATATTGTCGCAACCTTTGTAGGCTACTTCAAATTATGGGGTAAGAAAGAAAAGAAAGCTTCTCGAGTAATGCAATATCAATTGAAAACAAGTATTATTCTGGACTAGTTTATATAGTTTACGTGTATGTGACTGTACAGTTTCTAACCGTTCAGTCAATGTACTGTTTGTCAGTACATTTATTGTACTTTATAAGTACCTCTGGTCTTTTACAATGTACATCTGTAATATGTACATATTATATTAATCAGTCACACTTTTATTTCTGCATACGACTGCTGTGCATTTGAATTATTATGCATATTATGTTTTGATTGTATTATTGTAGGAAAACTGGCAACCTGGTCAGTCAATGGACAAGGTACATGTAGGTAGGTGCTAGGTATTGATTGTAATTCAAGCAATAAGAACGAGAAACGCCCAAAAATATGGCATGTTTCACAAACAAAAAAAATTGTTGTACATAAGATTTTGTACATAGAAATTTGAATACATACAAAAGATGGTGCAAACATGAAATAAAATTCAAAGTAATTTCGTCAGTGTCTACATGTACAATCATGTATATTATTTTACATTGACAGTATTTGATTCTCACAAAATTTTAGATTCTATGTACCAAGATTTTTGTTTGGATAATGCTTCATGTACCATGCAACGTAACTTGACTCTCATTCCACAAAAAAGACAATGATATGTTGCATTTGGGTTTTCGAATGATGGTGATTTAGTAAGTCATAGCACTTATCAATTAACTTAATTTAAAAAGGAACAATAATCTGTATAATGATTCCAGTATAACTGACATGGTTTGGGAACATTTAAAATATACACACAAACTCTAAATCTATGCCAATGTAAATGTAACATTTGTCACGCTCTGCAGTCTTTTGCCTGAACTGGCCATGTGGTCTTGTGCAACACATTTTCCCTTTATTTCTAAAGGTTTCTTTCACAGTCTACTTTTGTCAACTCTTTTAATGTTTATAACTTAACCTCTTGTCCTCTGCCTGTCCCTTGCTCGTGCCCGCTTTGCGAGGCTGTCGTACAGAGGGAATGTTGTTTTACCGTAGCGTTCTTCTTCGCGGCCGGTAGCTCGATGCAGGAACCAGTTGTCCGGTTTGCCCCTCTGCTGCTGTCGCTGCTCTGCTCTCTTGAAGACCCAGTCTGCGTGCGCATCCTGGCACTTCCGTCCCTTACACTGCTTCTTGCCTGGAATGACTGTGGCTGTTTTCTTGTCATTCTTGCCTTTCCTAGCCCCAGCTTTGTGCTTGGGACTGTGCTCTGTGTGTGCCTGCGGTCTGTCCTGGCTGCCCGTCTTCCCCCTGGCTTTCTCCAGTTTCCGGTGATGCTTCATCTGACTGTGGATCCTCTCAAACTCCTTGATCACGTCGCGATCCACGTGATCCCAGTCGTCGTCCTCGTCCCAGTCCCCGTCTTCGTAGTCGTCCAGGAAGTCAGCCCAGCACTCCTTCTTCTCGTCATCGTGTCGGCAGATCTTTGCCAGGATGTCGCGGAGCTTCAGTCGGTACTTGTCATAGGCATTGATTTTGTCATCCTTATCATCATCATCATCGTCACCGTGTCCTCTGGATTTTCTTCCCTATAAGTAACAAATCAGAAGGATGTAGTGAGAAAGTTTAATATGTTACGGTACATGTACCAAAGGAAAACAGCTTCACTTCATTGCTACCCCTCTAAAAAAGTAGTCATGACTGTATGGAACAAGCAGATACAATGCATCCTGCAAATCTGTATAGGAGCAAGGATTTCCTAAGTTTCACCTCAAATATTATTATTTGATTTCTTGTCAAACACGTTTCTAGTTACATTATCTTGATTTAGTGGTATAAATTGATTAATATTTAGAAGTTCTGTTTATTTATGAATGTATTTATTTTAGTTGGTTTCTTTCTTATTGTGAGGAATATCATGTTAAATTTTGTTATTTATGTTGGAGTCTTCCCCCAGGAGTCTTTGAAAAGTACCTGCCAGCATCATGTATATTGTACTTCCTGGTGAAATAAATAAATCAAATTCAATTTTCTTATTTCATCAGCAGGTATGATGAGACACAAACCTATTTATTACACATTGGTAGAAAACAGTGCTGCCATGTTTAGAACTCTCACCTTTTTGTCGTCTGAATCATCATCATCATCACGCCGTCTGCCCACGCGTGGCCCAGCGCGGTGACGACCTTCGACATCCACCTCCACGCCCGCGTCGTCGCCATCTCCGTCGGGGTCCCCGCGGCCCTGCCCGTGTCGCCTGGGGCCGGCGGACGCGCTGTCGTCTTCCTCATCTCTCCGTCGGCGGAATCGCCGAGGTCTGTCGTTGCCGCCATCATCCTCAGGATCCCCATCTACAGACAGATACATGTGTAAGTCATTTTCTTGCATAGGAACCCATGGCTTAAACTATTGAGTGCATACATCTATGCACCTTAGTGCTGGTACAGATAAAATTACCCCGGTAGGGCTGTGTAGGTATTTCTTATGTCTACTTGTCCTGGTCCATTTACTGGGTTTATATACAACTGAAGGTGTAGGATTGGATTTTTATTTACTGCATTAACTGTTACCACCTTTGAAGTATAAAAGAAATAATGTCAATGGTTCAACAGTTTTTAGCATGATTTACTAAGTCTGATTGGTGCAGGTAAAATTTGGTGCAGGTAATTTGAATGCAGAGGAAAGTATTTAAAGGCCACACCAATTTAATTTGTTGGTTCTCGGATTTTTTCAGAAAAAATATGAAGCGACAGGGCGAAAAAAAATAAAAACTAGAAAGGCCAATATTTGCTTTGGAGCAAATACAGCGATGGGTTCACCACATTTTACGACATGGCAGGGAAAGAATGGGAAACACAAGGGAAAACAATGATTTACATTGATATAACTATAATATGAAGTAAAATACAACTGAAACAACAGTTGGATAGCTATTCCCTACTTTATTGGTTAGGATTTTTAATTGCATAATGCAAACTGTTGATTTTCAAAATAAAATAAAAAACGTCCATGCCCGGCATTCCAATGCTGGAGCAGGAAAGCTTGAAATACCTACCAAAACACTTGAATACAGACATACTGTCAGTATGGAAATGCTTCTGTGCAGGTGTTAATCAAGTTAAATCCCAACAGCCAATCAGCAAGAAATGCTCTGTGCAGGTGGAAATGCTCAGT